TTTTTAAAAGCCAGATGGAGCCCGGCCAGGCGTGGCTCAGCGGTTGAGCATCAACCTGGGATCCAGGCGATCGGGGTTCGATTCCCGGTCAGGGCACATGCCCGGGTTGCGGGCTCAATCAATGACTCTCTCATCATTGATGTTTCTCTCTCCCTCTCCTTTCCTCTCTCTGACATCAATAAAGATATATTTTAAAAAAATAAAAATAAAAGCCAGATGGAAACAACAACAACAATAATAATGAAAAAACAAACGCCAGATGGGAGGGGGCTTGGGTGAAAAAGGTGAAGGAATTAAGAAGTACAAATTGGTTGTTACAGAATAGTCACAGGGATGTAAAGTACAGCACAGGGAATATAGTCAGTAATATTCTAATAATTATTTATGGTGTCAGATGGGTACTAGATTTATCAGGGTGATCACTTAGTAAGCTATATGTCTAATCACTGGGCTGTACACCTGAAACTAATATAATATTGTATGTCAACCGTAATTGAAAAATAAAAAATTAAAGTAAAAAAAAAAAAAAAAAGCATATCTTTCAAGATCTGAAAAGCACTAGCGAGCATCAGTTTTAGAGAGAAATAGAATAAAGCTTGCTCTCTGCAGTAAGGATATATTAGCCTAATGTTGCTTTTTAAAAGTTTCCACTGACCTTAAAAATATTGAAATCTAAGAAATTGGATTCTGGAGTTTGAGGTCGGGGGAATCCCAGGGTTGTGGGCATACAGCCACACCCACAACAGAAACAAAAAGGGAAGAAAAAATGGGGCAGCCTCCTGAAATCCTAGGGATCCTGGTCCCAGCAGGGAGCCAGGAACACGGCCTCATTGGCGCCACGTGACCTTCCTCTCAGCCTTCCCGGGCCCTGGAGACAAAGGAGAGGGGAGGAGACTTGGGGGACAAAGACCGAGAGCTTTAGAAATTAGCTGTGGGGTGAGGATGCACTGTTACTGGGTCTGAGTCTCCGCCTTTGTTTTTCATCTCACCCCAGGGAAGTTAAAAATTAACCCGAGCTTGTAAAAGGACTCCTCAGTAATGGGACCTGTGAGGCCTTTAAGGGAACCTGCTCATCCAGTCTTCTCGCCACAGTGAGACCAGAGAGCAGAGGGAAAGGCTTTTGTTACAGGTACAAGGTTCATGTACCCAATGCTTCAAAAGAAAAGCCAATCAATATTCAATAGATCAGAGTTTTGGAGTAAGGAAAGGTTTACTGATCGAGAAGGCCTGGCTCGAGAGAGAGCTAATGGGAGAACTAATTCTCAAATCCATCTAAGGAGAGCTCAAAATTTAGCATCTTGTATAACAAGGGGAAGGAGGGTAGGTGAGGTGAAGAAGTGGGGCGGGGGTAGGGGGAGTCAAATGAGGAAAAGGGGTCCAAGAGAAACTGGGACTTTTTTTTTTATCCTCAACAGAGGTTATTGAGGATATTTTTTCCTTTGCTTTTCAGAGAGAGTGGAAGGGAGAGAGAAAGAGAGAGAAACATATCGATTGGTTGCTTCTGTTTGCACCCCAACCGGGCCTGGGGATTGAGCCTGCAACCGAGGTACGTGCCCCTAGCTGGAATCAGACCTGGGACCTTTGGTCTGCAGGCCCATGCTTGAACCACTGAGCCAAACCGGCTAGGGCAAAAGTGGGAGATTTTTAAATCTCTTTGTTCCTGGTCGAACCCCACGGACCTGAGTCCAGTTCTCAAGTCATTATTCTGTACATATTCCCCCACTTCTTCACGGACAAAGGAGCTTCTCAAGCCTCAAGTGGAAGTCCTCTAGTTAATTAGCACATACATGATAGGAGCTTTTAGCCTGAAGGCCGCCAGAGAGAGGAAGCATTTCATCCTGTTACACTTTCACCACAAGCCCCTCGAGCCCCAGCCCCTCCTTTCCAATCTCTCCTTTCAGGGTCTCCCCTCCCACCCCCCATCCTTAGTCTTGTCCCTGCAAGGCCACAGAATCCATTTCCTCTGAGTGCAATGAAATTGGATCCTCTAGCTTCACATTTATAATGATTTCCATTATTTGGAATGTTTGTGATTCTCTTGCACTCTTGAGGGAGAAAGAGAGAGAGAGACAGAAAGCTCTCTAGGTGCAGTTTAGAAAAATCAAATCTCTGTTGAACAGACAATTTAAATTTTGGAGAAAAGGAGTCAAGATCTCGATTCTAGTGTTCAATGTTGAGCTCATCTGCCCAGTCCTTTTATTAGTAGTTTTGGCCTGGCCCCTATGTGCTTCTCGTCTTCTCCAATTCCTCATCTGGCTGAAGGAGAGGGGGCTTGGAGTTGCAGGCTCTTCTGATCCTTTTCCAGTCTTTTTGTTGTTGTTGTTAATCCTCATGTGAGGATGTTTTTTCCATTGCTTTTCAGAGAGAGAGGAAGGGAGGGGTGGAGGAGAGAGAGAAACGTCTATGTGGAGAAAGACACATCAACTGGTTGTCTCCTGCATGCTCCCCCACCGGGGGTGGAAAGCAAACCTGCAACCCAGGTACGTGCCCTTGATCAGGAATCGAACACGAGACCCTTTGGTGTGTGGGCCGATGCTCTAACTACTGAGCAACACCAGCCGGGGCCTTTTCCGGTATTTGGGTGAAGATGCGCATTGATGAGGCTAGTCTCTTGAAAGTGGCCCAGTAGGCAGATATGAGGAAACATGTAATATGTGTTTCTTGATTGTTTATTCGTCTGTCATTAGCTCTGACACCATTTTTACTTTTTTTAAAATTGAGATATAATTTATATACAATAAAACCCACACATCTTAGGGATATGGTTCAGGGAGTTTTGACAAAAGCGCATACTTCTGTAACTCACAACTCTATCAAAATAAAGAACATTTCCATTACAGCCCCCTTCCACCCAATTTCCTTGTGCCTTTTCCCAGTCACTCCCCTCTCAACCCAATTCCTGTCCAAGGCAACTTTGTTGATTTCTATGCCTTTAGACTAGCTTTGTCTGTTTTAGAATTCCATACAAATGAAGTCATACAGTATGTTCTTTTTATGTAGCTTTTATTGCTGAGCATAATGTTCTCGAGATTCATCCATATTGTTGCAGGTATCCATGATTTCTTTTAAAGGTACTTTTGATAATAAAACCCCAGAACTTATTGGGCACCATGCTTTGTGTTGAGGGCTTGTGGTGGCTTTGTTCTGTGTCAGCTTAGCAGAGCTGGAACTACGTTTACCAGAATTCCCTTTTCTGTCTATTTCAGGTAAGTGTTGGCTCCAAGAGAAATTTGTGTGGCATTTGGGAGCTATGAGGGGAGCAGCAGCCATGATTTTAACGCTCTGGAGATCAGTGCTTCAGACACTGAGGCAACTCACACAACTGCTAGTTCGCAGGCTGAGGCAGCACCCAGACCTGCAGCTCTTCTCCCTCCTACCAGAACTCCCTTGGCTTCTCCACTGGCTGGGTCAAGTGCAGTCTGGGTCAAGTGCAGTCTGGGTCAAGTGCAGTCTGGGTCAAGTGCATGTGAGTCCAGGTGAAGGGTGCCAAGCACCTCCTGCAGGGCACCCATAGCATCAAGGTTGGAAGTGGTGAAAATCAGACCTGGGTTTTAGTTTGTCCTCATGAGTTCCTGTTTGTCTTGCCTCACACTCAAGCCCAGCTCTCTTTTCTGATTGCCAGTATGGTAACCTCTGGTGACTGAAGGGTAAGCACTAGATACAGAGGCAACAGCCTTGCTGTCTTCTACCACAATTGTGTAGTTCTGTATAATTCCTGCAATAAATCCTTTATTCTATATCCTTTGTTAATGAAAGAAATCATTCAAACCCATGAAAGAATTTTTGTGAGTTTATTTGAGCCTGTCAGCAATTGCCCGGAAGCCAAAACCTTGAAGGATTGAGATAATGCTCCGGAGAATGGCATTTTAGCACCTTGTTTTATAGATTACAATCAAAGGAGGAGCCATAAATGGGCTACAGGAAATTCATTGGTGGTAGATTAGGGAAGTGGGAGAAAGCAAAGGGAGGGCTCGAGGTGGGGGGGGCAGACCTCTGGGATTGTATAAAAGTAAAATGATAGACACATACTTCTTTACATAGGTGGGTACAGGATAGTTGACTGTTAACAAGACAGCAGTAACGATGAGAGGATTCCTGGTCTCTGCCCTGGTGCACTGAGGGCCCAGAAAAAGGGGAAATTACTTTGTTTTGCAAAGGCATGTGTTAATCAGGTATGTTATCTCAGATGCAAAAGACAACAGACAGGCTTAGTTAAGGTGAAAATTAACCTTTGTGAAGGAAAAATACTGCCTTAGGGTGTGATTACCCACCATAGACTGCTTTTAGTTAAAAATATTAACTTCAGATCATCTTTTGTGATTATTTTAGGTCTCTGAGTTTGTAAGGCTGCCACCCAGGCCTGCCCTGAGCTTTTGGGTCCACACCTTCATAAAGTTTCTGCTTCTCTGGTCAAATCCTGACTAATTTAGGAAAGCGTAGAAGTCAAAACCTATGTGGAAATGGCACCCCACATGAACTCCAGCCTCCTTGCTCCTTAGATTTGGAACCAGCAGTCCTCTTCGGCAGTTCTCTGCTGTGGCTACAGTCTAGACTCTGAGCGCCTGGAATTGCTCCCCTTTTACCTGCCAGCGCAAATTCTTGTTCTTCAGATCTACCTCCTTTTCCCTCGCTACTGCTGCCCTGGACTGCAGCTGCACTGCCTGCCCTTGACTGCTCCCCTTTATCTCAGTCTATCACCTCCTCCTGGCTTCCTTTTATCGTTTCCCCAATCTACGGTTCATAGACTATCACCTGCCAGCAGTTTCCGTGCTGTTAAGAAAAATTATTCCACCCTAGCTGGTTTGCCCAGTGGTTAGAGTGTGGCCCTCAGACTGAAGGGTCTCTGGTTCGATTCCAGGTCAAGGGCACTTACCTCATTTGCAAGCTCAATCCCAGCCCCGGTCAGACACAAGCAGGAAGCAACCAATAGATGTGATCGATGTGTCTCTCTCACATTGATGTTTCTCTCTCTCTGTCTCTCCCCCTCCCTTCCACTCTCTCTAAAAAAAAACCAATGAAACTAATCTTCTAGAAGACTGCTGATTGTAGTGTTGTTGTTTTTTTCTTTCATCACATTTCTTCTGAATTTTTTTTATTGTTTTTTGTTTAAAATATCTTCCTCTGCCTGGCTGGCATGGCTCAGTAGTTGAGCATCAACCTATGATCCAGGAGATGGAGGGTTGCCGGATCGATCCCCAGCAGGGGGCATACAAGAGGCAGCTGATCAATGACTCTCATCATTGATGTTTCTATCTCTCTCTCCCTTCCACTCTCTGAAATCAATAAAAAATATTGGGAAAAAAAATCTCTTCCTCCTCAGGAGCCAGCTTGGCCCCCTTCTTGCGGCCCAGGGACAGTGCCGAGTGAGACTCTTTCCACTCTCGGTAGGGTGTGCTGTCAATGAGCACAATGCAGTTCTTCACTAGGGTCTCTGCAAGAACCAATTCATTGTTGGATGCATTGCAGACAACATCAATAATCCCTGTTTTGCGCGTACAACACTCTGAGCCCCAGGAGAAGTTGCTCATGCCCAGCCTCAAGGCATGGTATTTCTTGCTGCCTCCCCACACATGGACTGTGTGTATGTGGTGGCAGCCAATCTTAGTGTCGAAAGCAGGGCACCCCAGCTCATATTTTCACTTCTTGCGGTAGGGCTTTCTCTTGCTCCCAGTTTTGCAGTGCTTGTGCCAGTTATCCCAAGAAATGCCTATTGCTTGGTGCCGGCTGGAAAGCTCCCCATCTTTAGACCTTTGTGTAAGCTGTTCTCTCTGCTGCAAATGCTCTCTCCCCACCTCATTGGCTTGCCAAATTCCTGCTCATCTTCAGGACAATTTGAGCAGCTCCTCCTCTGTAAAGCCTTCTCTGTGCTCTCCTAGCACCTTGACCACACCACACCACTTATCTTCTAGCACAGTCATCTCACCTGCCTGAGTCTTGGGCTGGAAATTCCTTGAGCAGATGGACCCTGTCTTGTTTATCTACAGAATATCATCAACATTATAACAAAATGATGTTATTCAAGGACCTGGTGTACAAGCTTCCTTTGGAATCAAATCTGAAGTTAAGAAGTGCCAGAGTTATCTGATACACAGATAAATAATTCTTAGTTTTCATGACTCAGATGTAAACTTTAGGGTTGATAACAGCATTCAATGAGTTAAGGCTAGCTATGATGTCAGAAATTATTGAAATATAGCTTGAGGTCCCAATTGTTACAATTTCTTAAAGCTGGACTTGCATGAGAAATTAAAATAGAATAATGATGCTTGATTATTAGACAAAGGGCTCTCTCACTGGACTACCATGAATGTGTTCAAATAATAACCACTCTCTTTGGTGTTCAGGAGATCAGTAGCCAGACTGAACTTTGGAGCCCTGAAGGAAATGCAATTAAGTTCCCCTGAAATAGTCTACTGGAGATTAGTTTATGGACTCCTCAGAAGCCAGTCGCGTGATGGATTTGGGTACCATGATGTATCTTTTTTCTAAAAAGCTCAGTGTTATACCCTAGTATTACTGTCTGGTGTTAATATATAGCTCTTTAATTTTTAACTTCATGTGTGTGTCTGATCTCTCCCAACTCTGCTGGAGGTTCGTGAGGGCCTATGTCTTTTACTTCCTGGCCACCATTAATGCTTAGTATAGAGTTGCGTAACTTAAACAACTTAAGTGCTTAGTAAATACATATTAAGTGAACAAGGTACAAATTAATCCCATGCCAGCCTTCGACTTCAGTGGAATGGTTTGACCCTACTCTCTCAAACGTATCTTTCAATGACATGCTTCTGTGCCTAAGATTCTCACCATCACTTGGCTCTTTGGATAAAAAACATTATCTCCAGAAGGCCTGCATTAAAATGTAAATATCTAATCTGGGAAATGTCCCTCACTAGCAAATGGTCTTTAATATTTTCCTAGCAGAGAGCTTGAGCCTAGGATTGTGTCCAGGGAAAGAGAGAGAGAAACCTAGGGTCCCACTTTGGGGTGTGGATTAGGTGGAACACCCCAACGATAGCTGTGACAGATGAGGGGTGGAGCATGGATCATAAGTCCACTGGGCTGGGCCCCTGTGAGGTGGAGTAGGGGAATGTCTAACTGGGTTAGCATGCATCCCAGTACAACCAGTATTGATCTGTCACATAGAACCTTCACAAACTAACCTGGCGTTGCTGGGTACGAACCAAGTATTCAAGTGAATGAGTTCCCCTCTGACCAAGGCTACTCTCAGAGCATTGTCTGAGTGGTGACTAGGAGCTAGTCCAGTGCTCTTTGCAGTCTGTTCTACATTCAGAAATAACTGCTAATTTTATTGCAATTGCAGTGAGTACCAAAGTAGAGGGGCAGAGAGAAACAAGTGCTGGTGTAAGGAGAGCTTTATTAATTCAAGTTCTCATCTGGACTTGCCCCCCTAAGTCACCTAAATCGGGGGGGATGGGTTGATGTGGTGTGGCCTTTGACCCACAGCCAGTATAGCTTCTGAATTCTGAGTGATCTGTACATAAACATACCTATGCCCACATACCTATGTGATATGCCTATGCCTAAAGTGCTTCTGTGTAAATAATTCCAGGATTTGTTTCTATAAATTGCTTGCTAGTGTGATGGGCAGAAATCAAATCAGCAGTATCCTAAAGTGAGTGAGTTCATGGCCACCAGCAGGGTTCTCTGTCCCCCACCAATCCCCAGCAGGAAGCAGGCAGAGAAGATCCCTGTGGTTACAAGGGCTTGGCTGCTTTATTACTTTCATTCTTATGGGCGTTTTTACAAGAAGTAGCAAAGTACGAAATATTTTATAGCCTTTCAGATAGAAACTATGACACCACATTTCAAAGAATAAAGGCCCCTTGTAAAGATGAGCACCTCACTACAAGTTCCTTTGGGAAGCAATGGGACATTATTAAGAGCCAGAGCTTATCTGATACACAAATAAACATTTCTCTAAGTTTTGACTATTAAGACATACATTTTAGAGATGATAGCCCTGCAGCTACACAGTGTGGGGAAAGAGTTTAGGTTTTGGAGTCACTCATACCTAGGGTCAAGCCTTAGTACCTCCATTCACCAAGGGGGTCTTGGGCATTGCTTAACTTTGCCTAACCCAGCAATTTTCAATCTTTTTCATCTCATGGGGCACATAAACTAATTACTAAAATTCTGCTGCACACCAAAAAAAATGTATTATATTTTTTGCCAATCTGACGACAAAAATAGGTATAATTCTGATTCATCCAGACCAGGGGGCTATTGTTCTGTTGTCTGTCACCATTTTTTTATTTGACAAGCTAAGGGAAAATAGGTCAGGTATTGCATGTTTTTAAAATTCCTGTGGCACACCAGTATGCCTCTTGCAGCACTCTGGTTGAAAATCACTGGCCTAACCAGTTCTCTAATTTGTAAAGTGGAAATAATACAGTCTCTGTGAAGATTAAATAAGATAATGTGAAGAAAGCACATTGTGAGTGCTTACCAAGTGTTTATTTTTCCCTTTTCTTCCTTTCTAAATGATCGGCTGAATTTACTAACTACTAAGGAAGATTTCAGACCAGTAGCCTATAAATAAGGCTCTGAAACCCCTCGAGAGTAAGAAGAGTCTGAAAGTTAAGCTGCAAAAAAGAGAGAGCATTCTGTTTCATTAACATTTCCAATGATCTGCAACTGGATGGTAGCCAGATCAACCCTGATTCTACTGATTCTAGGGACTGGAGTTATCTGTGTGGGTGTCTGTTCCACTACTGAATCCTTGAGATAATATATGGGGACCAAGAACCCTAAGGACCCTTTCTTGTTGAATCTGAATTTCCACAGGACTAGTGTGGAGCCTCAAAGTTTGATTGTTGATTAAAACTGAATTATTTTATCTCCCCTCCCCATCAATTAGTCCTGAAATACCATTCTCCTTAGCTGATATTTGACTCCTTTAAGGCGTACTTATAGGCCAGCTTTCACATTTTTGCCCCCATGTGATGCCCAACAACATGCATCAAATAAATTTACATTGATAGTTACAAAATAGTCACAGAGATATAAGGTAGAGCATAAGGAATATAGTCAATAATATTGTAATAACTGCATATGGTGCCAGGTGGGTTATTTGAAATATTGGGGGGATCATTTTGTAAATTATATGATTGTCTAACCACTATGCTGTAATCTGAAACTAATATAAAATAATATTGAATGCCAATTGTAAATGAAAAATAAAATTTAAAAAATTAATTTATGAACAGATGGTTTCTACAGGAGTGAGCCAGGTTGGTTCTACAAGCCAAGCTATGCCTGTGTCCTATCTGCTTACATAATTCCACTGGTTAGCAATCTCCATTCAACAGACCCTCCGTTTTTTCCTGCAAAGCATTTTGTATCTAAGGATAGAAGGAAAGCGTGATGTCCTCACATCAAGATGGCTCACCAACCTTTCACCAAATCGAGATATTCTTTGAGTTATTTGTAGCATTGAGACCCACATGCTATTTTTTCTAGGCTGTTTTTTTGACTAAATTAGAGATAGAAACCTGATCCCTGACAGTGCTCCAATAGTGTAAGAGACTCAACTCACCACTCATTAACTGTTAGCGGTATTTCAGCAAGTTCTGTCAGCTTCAGGTAATGGGGGAAAATGCTAACCATAGATTTGCTTTCTTTTCTTTTCTTAATTGATTTGAGAGAGAGAGGAAAGGTGAGAGAGAGAGATTTGTTGTTCCACTTATTTAACCAGGGACTGAACCCAAAACCTTGGTGTATCTGGGTGATAGTTTAATCAACTGAGCTGCCTGGCCAGGGCAGATTTGCTTTCTATAGGACTTCATCACCACTACCCCACTATTATAACCTGCTGCTAGTTTACCCAGTAAGTTCTGCCCTGAAATGGAAATGTGGTCATTACTTTATCAGTTCACAAGACTTCCCTACAGACTCCTAGAAGTTCCCCTACGTTTTCACAAACAGGGAACCAACAGAGACATGACATCCTCCCTCCTCACTCCTCAATCCACATTTTTTATTTCCTTCTTCTTTCAGTTCCTTCTATCAATTCATACAATCACTCTCTCTCTCTTATTCACTCAGTCCTCAGTGACTGCTCATCCTTAGGACAGGGACAACCCAGACTCCCAGGAACATTATCAAGTCGGGTACATTCTGAGTCAGTATTGTTTACATTAGTGTGTGCTGTGCATGGTTCAGCTGGACTATGACATGATAACTCACTCATCCTGACTAAGAGTATCAGTGACATTGTGTTTGTAATGTTTAGTTTATTCTTATCAGACACTCTGATTTTCTAGGGATGTCTCAGTCATCCCTATAGAAACATAAGAAACATACGATAAATAGCATTAGCGTGTTGTTTTCCTTTGTTGTTTCTTTAGATGCCTTGCAAGCTACCAGTGCAATAGTTCCCAGCCAGCAACGTAAGAACCCATGGAGACAGCCCTGCTAGGCTCTGGCCAGTTACCAGGAGGGGGAACTTCCTCGCTGTTATGTAGCATAATGGATTGCTTCAGAGATGTCATTAAACAAGAACACTGCAGAAAGCTCTCTGGTTTTATCAGAGCTGTGGCATACACTGTAAATGGCCCACGATAAAGACCCCACCCCTCTCTGATCCTGATAAGGCAAAGGTTAAGGTTCATCTCCATCTGCCACATTCTATTTCCTTCTGTCCAAGCCAGAACACAATCTCTGGAGCCAACTGGTTCCTCTCTCAGCTGGCTTGAAGAAGGACAACATTCTTTTTAGTGTTGAATGGCTAAGTCATACACAAAATAGGTGCCCAATAAATACTTATTAATAATCATGGTTCAACCATTCAGGTAGTCATTAAGCTGTGATTGGTCACCCATAGCCCCTATTTTACCACATCCTCCCAGAGAAAGCACTTCTGTTCCTTTCTACAAAGTCTGCCACCACCACTACACTCTGCAAGGGAGGCAGTCATCCTGGAGCTCCTTGACCTTCCTACTAAAATCCACACAGCTCAGGTTCATTTTTCATCTCTCTCCAAGAGCCTGTCAGGCTTATCCCAACATGCTGCATATTCCCACTTACCTCGGTCACTGCCAGAAGAACAAGCCTTCTAAGTCACTTGACATCAACACTGGACACTCATCCCAGTACCCATGAGTTTCTAACCTCCTCTGAAGCAACCCCTCCTTACCCTCCCCAGACTCTTCCACTGTGCTCTCTGCAGCTCCAGATCTGTCACCGTCAAAGGTCCTGGCAGCCTCCTCCTCTTCTCTGAGCATTCCCTCTGCCTTCTGGAAGCAAAGGAGCCTGGCTGCCCCTGATTACCACATCTTCTGAGCCCCTGATCACCACATCTTCCGAGGAGTCCTCTCAGGCAGAAAAGGGTTGTACTTCCCCCCTCATGTCCCATGCACCTCAGGGCCAGAGGGTGTAGTAAATGTTCTGCTTGCCGTTTCCAAACTATTTCTTAACTTTCCTTCTTCTAAATATCCATCTCCTTTGTTTTGTTGTTACTCCTCACCTGCACCCGAGGATATTTTTTCCATCAATTTTTAGAGAGAGTGGAAGGGAGGGTGGGAGGGACAAGAGAGAGAGGAGAGAGAAACACTGATGTGAGAGAAGAGAGACACGTCGACCGGTGGCACCCCAACAGGGGCGGAGACCCCACGTGCGGCCAGGGGGGGAAACATCCAGCTCCGTGAAAGCCCTCAAGCCCTTCCCCTTTCAATCACCAGGTTCTAGTCCCATTGGTGGCCTGTCTATCCTTCTAGCATACTTTGTGTATAGTCTACATTTTTCTATCGTATCTATGGCAGTATTCAATTAGGTCAAATATATTGCTGAAATCAAGGTACAGTATGCTGTTATTTAAGTCAGTAACTCTTTCTTTTATTGATTTTTAGAGAGAGAGGTTTATATTTTACCCTGTCTCAATGTACTCCATTGGTACTCGTAGGAATAATATTTGCTTTATTGAAGCTACTTTAAAATTATCACTATTCTTTGATTCTTTCAGGTTGAAAAGTATAAGTTCAGTGATTTTGATTTTGGTCTTGTCTTTAAAGTAAAAAATTAAATAAAGCAACCAGCTCATGTTAATTAAAAATATGAATAATAAAATGGCAATAAATACATACCTATCAACAACTACTGTAAATGGAAATGGAGTAAATGCTCCTATTGAAGGACATGGAGTGGCTGAATGGATAAGGAAAGAAGAACCTTATAATTGCTGTCTACAAGACTTGATTCAGATGGAAAGACACACATAGACTGAAAGACCTTTGGATGGAAAATGATATTTCATGAAAATGGAAATGAACAAACAAAAAGCTGGGGTAACAATACTTATACCAGACAAAATAGACTTTAAAACAAAGGCTATAACAAGAGACAAAGAAGGACTGTAATTCCACTTTGGGGTATTTTTCCAAAGAAACCCAAAATACTAAATTAAAGACATATGCATCTATATGTTCATTGCAGCATTGTTTCCAATAGTCATGATATGGAAGCAACCTAAGTGTCCATCAGTAGGTGAATGCATAAAGAAATGGTGCATAAAGAAATGGACCAGTGTGCAAGGTCCTTGGAAACTCATGAGATGGAAATCAAGAGAGCTCAATCCTAGAAGAAAACATAGGCAGTAAAGTCACGGACATCCCACGTATGGAGTTTTCACTGATACATCTCCCAGGGCAAGAGAAACAAAAGAAAAAATAAACATATGGGACTACATCAAACTAAAAAGCTTCTGTACAGCAAAAGAAAACAGCCTCAAAATACAAAGGAACCCCACGGTCTGGGAAAACATATTTGCCAAGGATGTATCTGATAAGGGGCTAATTTCCAAAGTGTACAAAGAACTCATATTACTCAGCAAGAGGAAG